GCGCCGCCGCCCCCCGCCGCCCCGCACCGGGCAGTGCCGCAGGGGGAATATTCTGCCCCGTTGTCTCCAAATAGAGAAGAGCGATGACAAACGATGGGGTGGGGGAACTGCCCCGGGGCCAAGCAAACACGTCATTTTGCCCTGACCATCTGCCCTTCCAAAAAACAAACACAAACCCCACCCGTTTCCCCACTGATAGTTGCAAACAAAGCATGGAGGCACCCGAACCGCACGGGGGGCCTGTCCTGACGCCCCTCTGCCCGAGAGGAGCCGGCAGGCAAGCCGGGAGCGGGGATGGACGGCACCCACCCGGCACCCATCAGCCCAGCACGCACGGGCACCCATGGGGCGACACGGCACGGCACGGCGGAGGGGACACGGCCCCCAGCTGCACATGTGTGCCAGGCGGTGTTGGAGACGATCTCTCCTCCCGCAGCGCAGAGGGAGAGGCGCGGGGCGTTTGCTGGCAAGGGGTTCACCCGGTGGGAAGGCGGCTGGGTCCCCGCCGGGGCAGAGATGGTGGCAAGGTGAGAGCTTCTTCCCGGCGCAGAGGGGCAGCCAGGAGGTGAGGGCACCTTGCTGCCCGCAGCCGGGGCGTGCATTTTCCCGTGGGATGTTGAAGAGTTTTCCCTTTGTTGAAACAAAAATTCTCTGCAAAGAAGAAAAGGATAAAAGTGTCAGACGCTGTGGAAGGAGAATATTCTCACTCCTGCAGTGACAGCTACGAAGCGCCGGTCCCAGGGACGGAGCCAAAGCCGTGGCAGTGCCCATCCCCGAGACACCAAGCCGCCCGCTGCCCCTGGGCCGGGAGAGGAGGAAACTCAGCAGAGGGCTAAAAAATCACAGCTTTTTGAGACCCATGCATTCAGAAATGGAAATTCCTCTCATTTTAAGTTTTATTGGCTCTTCTGCTCGGCTAGGAACTTCCTAATGAAAATCCTGATTTTGTGACATAGAAAGACTCCAGGAACTGGAGCCTGTGAGAAAACCAGTAAATAAAGTCCCTGTGGCTTGCAAATGCCTCCTGCGTGAAAGCACCCACTCGTGCTGGTGGCCCTGCATACGGGCAAAAGCCGTGCCGCTGGACGGAGAGTCGCCCAGCCAGGAGAGCCCAGGCAAACCACGCTGCGCTCCCTTCACCTCCGCTCATAAAATCCACCTCATAAATTGAGTGTTTCCATCTGGTTTTTGGAAGGGGTACGGTTGGGTTTTGGTTCTGGCAGGGACACCTGCTCTGCTTTTCCAGCCCCAGTGCACAGAGCAAAGCACAGCAAACTTCATCCTCCCTGCGGAGGTGGGCATGAGCGTTTCACAAAGTGGTGAACTGGGAAAAAATGAAACCTACTGGGCTGCGGCACATCGTCCCTGAGAGCAGGCGGCAGAAGCACCATGAAAGCACCTAAAAGTACTCCAAAAGGAACACATAAAGCACAGACCCGTCTGTCATTAACCTCGACAGTTTTTCTCACTCGGCGCTGCCCTCATCTTACAAAAGCGTTTAGGCTGCTTGAAGGTATATTATTGATCACATATTTAATAATAAATGGTGCAATTAGCCCATGTTAGCTATACACACTTGACCACAGATGAGAGAAATCATTTTGCACAACACCGTGTTACAAACACTCACCTTTTACAAGTTCATGACTTCTTCCTGCTAGTGGCTCTAAACGAAAGAACAGAACACGGGTTGGGTTGCGAACGACAGGGCAAGAAGGCACGAAATCCCTTCCCCTCCCTCCCGGCCAGCCCCCACGGGCTCTGCCTCCTGCTCCGCAGCCCCCGCAAGCCCCCGGCCCTCCGCGCCACCAGCGCCGTGTGCCTGCAGCCGGGCCGGGCAGGATGCGGCCGCGCGGCGTTTCGCCCAGTGAGAGCCACCGGCACCTACCGTGCTGGAGCTGCCGTGGCTGAGCTTGTCGAAGCGAAACTTCAGGTTTGACCTCGGAGAGTTTCTGTTCTTGATATCTGCTGGAGGGAGCGGAAAAGCAAAGAAGAAAAATAATAATCTGTGAACAAAAATATTTGCTGAAGTGGCTTCAATAGACTGTCACAAGTGCTACCAATATTTAGTCTGCCTTGGCTGAATGTTTGGCAAAATCTGTACATTAAATGTTTTTGATGGAACAAATTGAGGCTTAATTACATTTCACAGTCTTTCTACTGGAAATGCCACTGAAAAGGCTACAAGAAATGACTGATCCGTATAATGTATGGGTGGATTTCCATGTTCTTGGCAGGAAAAATACAAAATAAACACTTTAAACATTACAAGGGGCTGGTTTAATAGTTCAGAAAATCCTAATGAAATAAGGAGGAGGACCCGTGGGGTGCTGAGATACAAAAAGCCAGCCAGCCTGCACTCTGTAGCCCAGCTTTCCCCCGCGTTGTTCCTAATTACGGAGCTGATCAGGGTGGATTTGTGCCTCCCTGGCTGTTTCGCTAACAGCTCCTAAGTTCATAACGTGCATTTTCAGCCACGGTGCCTTCCGGCAGGCACGCTGCCGCACGAGGAAACGAAAGCCCGTGACCTGCGGGCGAGGGGCGAGCGCTGCAGACATCCCCCAGCCCCACCGCGCCGTCACCGGTGCCGTCACCGCAGGATACACCAACAAAGGGCCGTTTCTGCCAATTTTACCCCGTTGAATTGCACCTCATTTTGCAAATCATCCAACTGAAACGGATGGAGTCAGCGGCAGAGTGAGTTAGCAGCAGGGGCAACGGAGCCAAGACCAAGGGAAGCTGCTTATTTATTAAATAATTTGTGAGTCATGGCTCAGTCCTTGGAGACAGGGAGTTTCCACGACCACTGCACGTCTGTCAGGGGAGAAGGGAGGAAACAAAGCCACAGCAAAAGCCACCTCTGTGCTCCAATTTAGAAGGGAAACAAATTCCCCAGGGAAATACAGAAATAAAGCACACGGGGACGCCTCTCCAGAAGAGCCCCGTCAGGACCGGGGTTTCAGGAGGAGCAAAGGCTTGCCCCGCACCCCGTGGGATGCCCGTCCTGCCAGGGCGAGCATGGCCACTGCTTCGCCCCGTCACCTCTGGCAGCCGCCTGCAGCCCAGGAGAGGCTGGGGAGGGGGCTTCTCCATCCCAGAGCCACAGACCCCATCCCAACCTGCCGCTGCAGGACCCCGGGGGCTTCCAGGGGCGAAGCAGAGCTGGTGCCTCCCCCCAGCCCTCCCGCGACCCACCTGTGGGGCTCCTGCTCATGATCACGGGGGTGGCCGCGGCCCCCACGCTCGGGCTCTCGCTGCCGGGCGAGGCGCTGTAGACAAACACGTCCTGCTTGAACGGTGACGCTGTGGACGGCTGGCTTCCCTGCATGGGGAGAGACCGGGACACAGCTCGCTCTCGTGCAGCCAGCTTTTCTCCCCGCGCCCCACTGATGCCTCGTTACATCCCTGCTCATCAGAGCCCCATGGTGTGCCCGCTTGCGGGAGAGCTCGTCCTGACGGAGCAATCTCCCAGCCCAGGTGTGCCGAGCGCTGTCCCAGCACACTCCAAGGCTCACTGGGGTGCCCCATCGGGCACCTCGACCCTCCTCCTCCTCCCCACACCTGGGGATGGGATTAAACCCCTCCACGTCAGTGGGAAGGAGGCACCCGGGGGGGCTGCAGGACACTTCCCCCCACGCAGAGACCCCCCGAGGGTCCGGAGGCAGCAGGAAGCCAAGGGCCGCATGGAGCTGCGGGGTCCGAGCCCGAGCGCAGCGCGGGGCAGGTTTGGTGCCTACCACGCTGTCATACTCCTCCAGGGTCTCGCTCTCCCCCGCTGTGCTGCTGAAGCTGCTGGTGCTCGAGGAGGAACGGGAGATGTTTGACCTCCCGTTCTCTTTCAGCTTAATAAATGGCCTAGGAAGAGAGGCGAAACAAAACGGAGAGCACGTGATTCACTCGGGAAGCCGTGTCCTTCGGGCTGTGATGGTGGGGACAGACCCTCCCGCGCACCCCCAGAGCAAAGCAGCTGCCGCAGGGACAAACCTAGCTGGGTGCTTCTGTAAATAACCCTTTCCAAGAGCATGGGATAAAGCAGCTGGTGGGTGCCACCAGCAGAAACCCACGGGTCAGGCTGACTCCCGGGTGGCAGGGCGGGACGGGCACCATGGGCCTCCCCAGCTCCCATGCCGCGAGGGTTTGGGCAACTTCTGCCACATACTGCTCTTTGCTCTTCCGGTTTTTAAAGACGGCTATTTTCAGACCATAAAGGAGCTGTGCTCATGAATCACCAGAATCTTTTTTTTCCTCCCTTAATATCAAACTTATTTATAGTAAAACCTAGAGACAGTTTTGTTTGACAAAGTCCCTGATGGTCTGTCAGCTAGAGGGTGACTTGAGCTCCGGCCGGAGGAGGAGAGGGCTCCTCCAGGCTCACCTGTCTTTGTTGGGGCATATTTCAGGGGAGCTGGGGTTGGATGAGGTCTCAGATTTCATCTCTTGAGAAGAATGTCCCAAATCTGATGTCTTTTGGGCTCCAGAAACACTGTCGCTGAGGGCACAAAGAGACAGGTTGCACGAGTTACACAAGAGACTTAAAAAGAATGGTCAAATTATACTCCCTAACACCAAATGCTAAACTGTTAAGAGTAACAGATGCTCTCTGGATACCACCGCTTCGGTTTAAAACAGAGGGAAGGGATCCAAGGTACCATTCCCTTGAACATGGCAAAAGCAGCTCTCGTTGCTGGCTTGTGTGGAAAGGGGAGGCTGCTCCCCAGGCAAGGTCTCCAGCACCCACCAACAGCTTCTCCACTGTTTAACACGCAACAGGGGCTTTTAACCTTAGCGACCAGGGCGATGTCAAACTTACCACCTTGTCCTGCTCTCCGCCTGGCTCTCAGACCCCGTGTGCAGGCGAGGGAACAGCCCCGAACGGCGCTTGATGGGGCTCCTGGACTGGTTCTTGGTGGCAGCTGCTGGTACAGGGGGCTGAAAGCACAGAACAGTCCAGGTTGGAGAGCAAAGCTCCTTCCTAGAAGCTCGTAAGACCTACAATTGCTGCCTGCAATTCTCAGCCTGCGCATCTAGACAACGCGTAATGCCAGGATTTCTTTTATATCTCCTTTGTACTTTGGGGCTGAAAACCCCAGGAAGCTAATCTTCGGTTCTTCCACAAAACAAACCCAACCTGAACACAGCACTCATAAAATCACGCTCTGCTCAGACTTCTCCTCGCCCTTACGTTCACTGCCTGCACAGGGGACTGCCGGACTACGTCAGCGCAGTGCCCTGCCAGGCTGGGGAGGGAGGGACGGACAGAGAGACAGCAGGACAGAGGGATGCGTGGCCATGCTCACCGAGAAGGTGGTTTTGGTCACCTCGCCGCTGTTGTGTGCGATGCCCCCGCTGAGGCTGCCCGGGATGCCGCTGCTGTGGTGCTTCTTCTGGCTGCCCACCATCGTCTCCATGGAGTGGCTGCGCACCCGGATGGCTCTCTGCGGCCAGAGGGGACAGGGGACAGCAGGTCATCACCACCCTGCGGGACGGCAACCCCAAATGCCCTCCCCAGCCCGAGGTCCCCCACACACACACCAAAGCATGACCTGCTTGGTCCTCCCTGCCGAGAGCCGGCACACACCAACAACCACCCCACGAGTAGCAGCAGCAGCCATTGCTCTGCGCAGCCCAAGGAGTAGCCACCCCGCGGGGAGCCGCACAGCCAAGGCCAGGTCGGGTTTTCCTCCCACTGCCCCCATGATGCCGGGTGTGAGGGCCAAGGACCGCAGCTATGGGAGCAGGAGCAGCAGACGTAAGCCCCAGAGCCCTGCCTCCTGCCCGGTGCCTGGCCGAGCTCCCAAACCCCTCAGCAAGAACGCGGTGACCAGAGTCGTAAGCCAGTGTTTGGATGCACACACCCTGCCACAATTCTCCCTGGACCTGGAGAGGACGGATCCTGCGAGGAGGCTCCTGCCCTGCCTGCTGCCTGCACCTCCCCTGTGCACTGACGGATCTCCCCAGCCTGCCCCGAAACACCTCCAGAGCTGGAGGCTTCACAGCTTCTTCAAAAAAGTACTTCTGCAGCATGCTTATGCTTGAAAAATATGTTTAGCCTGAACCTCCTCTGCTGCTGGCTTGGTCCAGCCATCCCTGTAACAGACCCACAGGTGAGATGCGCAGCATCGTCCCCCCAGCAGTCGCAGCATGGTCACAGACTCTCCCAGCTCCCTTTGGTCTTCATTTCTCCAGACCAAGCAGCCCCCTTCCCTCACTCTTTTCACATCGGCCCTGCTTTTCAGAGCTCCGGGCACACTTTCCTCCGGACCGCCCTCGCCTGGGCCACATCACTGAGTCCGGGCGCAGTTTCCAGCTGAGAGCCCACCCGCGCTCAGGCCTGCCGTGCTCGGTGCCAGCGCTGCAGCCCAGCACGGCTTCTCCTGCTGCATCCCCACTGCTGGATGCAGCAAACCAATGACCACAACCGCCAAACTCCTCCTGCAACCCAACCCCTTGGCCAAAGCGCTCGTGGGCAGGCTGAGGGCTGTGTTTCCCACACAGCCTTAGGCACCTCGCTCGCTCAGCAAAGCACAGCCTGCTCCCAGCTGCCCTGAAACATCCATGTCCGTTTTGGCACAGGCTGGGTTTTACGGGAACGAGATGCCCAGCGCAAGGCCTTGTGCCTTTGTTCCCTCTGGCTGCCCCGGAGAGCTGGAGCACCGCCGGAGCTCCGCACGCTGAGGGATGCCCACAGCAGGACGCACCTCGCCCGGGCACGGAGCAGAGGTGCCGAGTCCAACCTGCCTCCGCGGCAGAGTCTGGAGATGTGCCGCGCCAGGTCTGGACACGACGGGACTCACAGCCCCCGCGGAGATCTCCACGTCCCCCGGGAAAGGGCCAACGGCCGGGCTCTGCGAACATCGGTGGCACAAGCAGGGGAAGAGGACTGCTGTGACCTGTTTTGACTCAAACGGTTGCAAACAGAGCTGCGCATACCAGGGGCAGAGACCTTCTGCAGATCCAAACACTCATCTGGGTGCTTAAACGGGACCTGAGCTATTTTTAAAGTCTTCTCTCAGTCATTGTCCCAGGCACTTACAAATACGACCACGAGATCTTTTGAAAGTCTGGCACAGGCTATGAAAAGCAGCAGTGAAATGCACAAGTTAAAAAAAATTCCATTCCCATATTTTAATTACTGTAGTCACCATAGTAACGGGAGCCCAAACTGGACTGTGATGCCAGTGTGCCAATTACAGGAAAGTTGTTCTTCGCAGCTATTCCCTTTGAATTGCTGCTGCGCGAGCCGCCGTGCCATGGCTACCTCTCCTCCAGCCCCTTGAATCCCAAGCTCAAGGTAAAGAGATTTTGGAGGAAACAAGCCATCAAGGGCCAGATTTCTGGAGGTACCTGGCACCGTATCGATGGTGCACAGGCATCACTTTTCTGCTGGCTCCAGGGGTTACTGAGCTGCAGGCAGACCTGCACCAGGCTAGGCAGGAGCCGCAGCCCCGAGCTCTCACCAAGCCCCAGCCCATGCTGGGGACCGTGGCCGCCCTGACAGCCCCTCACTGTCCCCTCCTGCCCATCCAGTAACAAACACCAAGCAAGAGTCCATCAGACCTGATTTATTAGGGTCAGCAATTCATACAAAATTTGACAGTGTTTGCAAATAAAAGTAACCGGTTGCTTGCTTTGCTGCCAGCAGCGCCGGCGGGCGCTCGTGCCATGCAGGCAGGAAGGCTCCTGCCCGGGGCTGCCGAGGCTGCGGAGCTCTGCAGGGCACCCTGACACCCCCTCCCAGAGGGGCTGGCCAGCGGCGCCTCTCCCCGCGGCGGGGAGGTGAAGGCATCCCTCTCGCTTACTCAAAGCCCAGCAGAAACAAGCTCCACTTTCCTCTGAGCGGCCGCTCCCCACATCGCACAGCCGGGGAGGAAGGGGCTGCGGGGTGGGTCGTGGGTGTGAGGCACCGGGCAAAAAGAAACCATGGGGACCAGCTCTTGCCCCCTCCCAGCCCTCTTATTTACCATCTCTCCTCTCCCCCGTTCACTCTGACAGCGCGCGGTGGAGGACATAAGCTAGGATGCAGGCCAGCAGCGCGGTCCTGAGGCGGCCGGGCAAACGCAGCCCAGCCTGGACCACGGAACTCACCACCTGCCCCGGCACACCCTGCAACGCCAAGAGAGCAAAGTCCACTTTCTCATACACAAAAAGCATGCAAAAAAGTGATTATTTAACATCAGCATCTCACACCCTGAAGTGAAACACTGTGATGTGACTGCCCAGCATCTCAATTTCTGCAACACATCTTGTACCTAAACAGGGCACACCTGAGCCTCCACCCACGCCCACAGTGGGGGCCAGGGAGCTGCTCACCCCTCCTCTGCAGCCGTCGGGTGCAGGATGAGGTGACCCCATCTCCCACCAGCGCCTGTTTTTCTACACCATAGAGAAAACTGTGCCTATGAGGTAGCTGCAGTTGTCGTCTCCGTACAGCCGCAGCCAGGGCAGCTCCCTCGCCTGGGACAGTGATGGCCACCCCGCACCAGCACCCATCCCCGCTGCAGATGCAGCTAAAACGGCCTTGGCCCGGCAGAGCCGACATGCCAGGAGCGGGATGGGGAGAGGCGTGGGGGAGCTGCACAGGCCAAAGCACAGCCACAGACGTCACCTGCAGCAGGGACACGGTGCCCTGGCCCAGGGGCTCTGTCGAGCACCCACCCGTGAGCGCAGCCCGGATTTACACGTGCCAGCCCTTCCAGCCGCCTCCCCATCGCTGTCGCAGGGGAGCCTCACCAGAGACTTCTGGCAACAGCTCATCCCCCGAGACTCAAGTGCTGCCCCTCCATTTCGAGGGACGTCCCCTGCTGCCCAGCTGGTCATTGTCCCTACCTCCAACCGTTGCTCGGTTTCATCCACATCATTTTATCTCATTTCTTTTTCTCCTCCCCCCTTTTCTGCCAACCCACTCTCCCTTCTCTCCCCTTACACCCCCAATCCCCCCCAGCACGCACCCAGCACCTTTTCCCCTCTCCACATCCAGCCCCTCTCACTGTGTCTCCCATTTAACCCGTGACAACCACCTCCCACCTGCTTGCCATGGCAGCCAGCCCCAGGCATCCTCCCCCCCCAGCCCCATGCCGCAGCCAAGGTGGCACAGCGGGGCCGCCAGCAGCGCGGGGACACGAGCAGGACTTGCCCTGCAGCAGCAGACCCAACCACAGGCACAGGCCATGCCGGGGTGCTGGCCCTGGCCCGAGGCCCCTCTGGAGACACGGTGAATGCCAGAGCACGCCGGCAGGAGAGGGGTGTTCCGGGGCTCTGGAGAGGCCACCCCGATGGTGGCACATGCCAACACCACAACCGTGTCAGCCTGCGCCTGCTCCTGCCAGGACCAGCTCGGGTGTCCACTGGCTTAGCAGGCACCGGTGGTGGTGAGCTCCTACCTCCTCCAGCCGCCCTGCTCTCAAGGGACACCTCTCGTCCCCCAACACCACTCATCCGCATCTTCCACTAAAATGTGCTTTGCCAGCCCGGGCTGCATTTGAACTCTACTGTTGGCAAGGGACAGGGGTTTACCTTGAAAGACTCCAGAAAGCCTCCGTGACCCCCGTTCTCCAGTTTGTCCTCCTCAGGCCCCAGGCCCAGCATGGTCTGCGTGTGCCCGTGGAGCTCGTCGTGAAGGTTGTCCAACAAGGCGGCCCGTGTCCGGTCCTGGGGGAGCGAGAACAGGCTCAGCGGGGGCCCCAAGGGAGGGGGCAGCGGCGCCGACCTGCGGGACAGCCGGCTCATCCCCCCGCCGCGGGCACCAGCGGCCCCACAGGACCCCGTGGCCATCAAGTGCGCTGAGACACGTGCACGCTTCGATCCCTCGTTCCTGCAAGCTCTGACCCAGCTCAGCTGGGGAAACACGGCTTTGAGGAGGAACGCCGAGAGCCTCCCTGTGCCCGCCGCGGTGCCGGGCAGGGACGGGTGGGCAGCGTTACCTCCAGCTTCGCAAACTTGTCCGACTTGCAGCAGGCGTTCTCGGCATTGATGAGCTTCGTCAGCAGG